GAAAATTGGTGGGAAATGCTATTTTGAATTTTGAATTTTCTTTATTTTTGAATTGTTTTGTTTATTTTATTTCCCCGACGTTGCCTCGTTTCGTTTCTGTTTTCATTTATTTGTCAAAATAATAATAAAAATAATAATGATAAAAATAAATAAAATAATAATAGGTTAATTTGATTCGCTTCAACTAAGCCGCGCGCCAGAGGCTAAAGACTCCATAAATGCGGAGAGAGCATGAATTTTGGCTCCTCTTTGAGGACCCTTCAAAACAAGGCGAAAATCACTGTTGGAAATGGCAGATTACAGAGTTCCATTCATCAGATCAAACATCTGCTCCATCCCCATGACGCCCTTTATCATGAATCTCTTCCAGTGGATTTTCAACCGTCGCAGCCATATTATGCACACCAACTGTTCGACGAAATTCCCCATAGAGACATCTTACACTACAATCGTCTGCTCTTCGACTTCTCTCGCAACGATCGTAATCGAGAAGCTTTGTATCTCTTCAAGGGTCTTCACTCGGCGGGGTTGGCCGTTGATGGGTCGACTCTGTCTTGTGCTTTGAAGGTCTGCGGAGTCTTGTTTGACCAAGTTGTGGGAAGACAGGTGCAATGTCAATCATTGAAATCTGGGTTTTTGGGGGATGTCAGTGTTGGGACTGCCCTTGTTGATATGTATATGAAAACGGAAGATTTTGAGGATGGGAGAGGAATTTTTTATGAAATGGGTCATAAAAATGTGGTGTCATGGACTTCGTTRCTAGCTGGATATGCACGTAACGGGTTGAAAGAGGGAGTGGTGCATTTGATTAACCAAATGCAGATGGAGGGAGTGAAGCCAAACGACTTTACTATTGCTACTGTTCTTGGGGCTTTGGCTGATGAGAGTATGATTGAGGAAGGGGTTCAAGTTCATGCTATGATAGTAAAAAATGGGTTTGAATCAACTACATCTGTATGCAATTCTTTGATTTGTATGTATCTGAAATCTGAGATGGTTGGGGATGCCGAAGCTGTTTTTGATAGTATGATGGTTAGAGATTCAGTCACTTGGAACATTATGATTGCTGGTTATGCTGCGATGGGGTTTGATTTGCAGGGATTCGAGATGTTCCATAAGATGAGACTTGCAGGTGTGATGATGACCCAAATGGTATTTTGTTCTGGTTTAAAGCTATGCTCTCGCCAAAGGGAATTGAATTTCACCAAACAGCTTCATTGTGGGGTGGTGAAGAATGGCTATGAATTGGATCAGAACGTCAGAACAGCTTTCATGGTCACTTACAGCAAGTGCGGCACAGTGGATGAAGCTTTCAAGTTGTTCTCCACGGCAAATGGGGTTCAGAGTGTTGTTACCTGGACAGCCATGATTGGCGGGTTCGTGCAGAATGACGACAACAAAGAGGCAGTTGATTTGTTTTGTCGAATGAATCGGGAAGGTGTGAGACCAAATCATTTCACCTACTCCACGGTCCTTGCAAGCAAACCTTCTTCATTACTTTGCCAACTACACGCACAAATTATTAAAGCTGATTATGACAAAGTACCTTCAGTAGCTACTGCACTTTTAGACGCATATGTTAAGACAGGAAACACCATTGAGAGTGCACGAGTTTTCGATTCTATCACTGAAAAGGATATTGTAGCATGGTCAGCCATGCTAGCTGGTTTAGCTCAAATAGGAGACTCAGAGAAGGCAATGGAAGTATTCATTCAGTTGGTGAAAGAGGGAGTGAAACCAAATGAGTTTACCTTTTCCAGTGTCATTAATGCTTGTTCGTCCCCTGCTGCAACAGTAGAACGTGGTAGACAAATTCATGCGAGTGCAATCAAATCAGGAAAGAGTAATGCTTTATGTGTAAGTAGTGCTTTGGTCACAATGTACTCCAAAAGAGGCAATATTGAGAGTGCAAATAAGGTTTTCAACAGACAAGAGGAGAAAGATATAGTTTCATGGAACTCCATGATCACTGGATATGCCCAACACGGTGATGGCAAGAAGGCTCTTGAGGTGTTTCAAGTTATGCAAAAGCACGAACTGCCAATGGATGATGTCAGCTTCATCGGAGTGCTTACTGCTTGTACTCATGCAGGTTTAGTAGAAGAAGGTGAAAAGTACTTCAACATTATGATTAAGGATTACCATATCGATCCAACAATAGAGCATTATTCATGCATGGTAGATCTCTACAGCCGAGCTGGAATGTTCGAGAAAGCCACAGACATCATGAAAGGAATGCCATTCCTTGCTAGTACAACAATGTGGCGGACTCTGTTGGCCGCCTGTCGTGTTCATCGCAATCTAGAGCTCGGAAAACTCTCTGCAGAGAAGCTTATCTCTCTTCAACCGAACGACTCTGCCGCATATGTCCTCTTATCCAACATCCATGCTGTGGCCGGCAATTGGCAAGAGAGAGCCAAAGTGAGAAAACTCATGGATGAGAGGAAGGTAAAAAAGGAAGCCGGGTGCAGCTGGATTGAAGTGAAAAACAGGATCTACTCATTCTTGGCTGGTGATGTTTCACATCCATTTTCCGATCTTGTTTACGCAAAGCTCGATGAACTAAGAATCAAGCTAAAAGATATGGGTTATCAGCCAGATACGAATTATGTTCTTCATGATGTAGAAGACGAACATAAGGAAGCCATTTTGTCTCAACACAGTGAGAGACTTGCAGTTGCTTATGGATTGATTGCGCTGCCGCCAGGAGCTGATATTCAGATTGTGAAAAATCTAAGAATCTGTGGAGATTGTCACAATGTGATTGAGTTAATATCGTTGATTGAAGAGAGAGTTCTGATTGTTAGAGATTCAAACCGATTCCACCACTTCAAAGGAGGAGTTTGCTCTTGTGGGGGTTATTGGTGACACTCACACATCATCTGTTAAAATATAATAAGGTAAAATATTATTTTGGTTTCTGTAATTTATATTCAAAATTAGCCTCCATTCTTAGTTTATGGTTATTTTTTCCTAATTTTAGTCTGCATCAGCATTTCTTCTAAAAATTTAGGAAACATATTCACATGGTATTTGTTCTTGAATAAAAAGCATGGTTATTATTTTGCCAAATTATACAAAAATTAACTTCAAACTAGCAGATTTATTAAAAGTATGAATACATTTGGATATTTGAAAGTACTATGGTGTTTTGTTCGAGTTATTTTTCCTCCTTTAACCACAGCTGTTAAACAAGTATTACACGTTTTTCATTATTATAGACTCTCTGTTTGAAAATTTGTTAGAAAAGATATATACTTTCTTGGTTTAGTACGAGATTGACAAGATTTTTAGAAAAAGGCGACGATAGAGATAAATTTCAAAAAAACTTTATGAATTTTTGGAGATTTATTAAATGATCAATTATATACATAGACCATACATTTTAAGCAAAATAAAAATCTTAACTTTTGTTAAAATTAATAAGTTAGTGAGAGATTTTTACTTTTTTTTCTTTTTGTTGCAATTATTTTTTTGAGTAAAACATGTGAAGGTGAGAATTCGACCTCACGATCTAATTATAGATTAGGTGTCTTAACAAGGGATGTTCAGAGTGTGGCGAGGACGGGAAAGTCTTTAAATTCTCCCTCCCATATAACTCTCCACGAAATTTTGTGGAGATCGAGGTGGAAATTCACTGCAAGGAATTTGTGGGGATCGGGTTCCCAAGTCTTTCCCCATTTACCTCTGAAACTCAACCATTCATTATGGGCCAATTTTTAGACCACAATCTAAATTGTTAATAGTTAAGGAATCCCCAAATAGACTAGTTGTGTATTTATATCATGCAGAAATCTTGTCTTGAGCCACCAAGAAAGAGGTAATGAAAAATTAAAAAAAAATTGCACAAATATAAGTTTGCAACAAATCTTAACTACTATCTTCGTAAAATATAAAGAAGCAAAATATTATGCCTCAAAAAAAAAAAAAAAAGGAAACAAAATATTAAGAAACTACAAGAAAGAGGTGCCTCAAATCCCACTTCATTAAGAGAGATGCATTAAATGCCAACTCATTTTTTTCCTTCTCATTCAATATTTGCTGGATGGGAGGTAGCACTTTGTAAATATCTTCAAATTGTCTCAAATTACAACTCATTAAAACTATAATATTTGCCAAAATAGTTTTTAAAAAACTTGGACTGCAATTCATTTAATAACTATTTTATTTTTATTTTTTACTTCTTAAAATTAAGTTTATAAACACTATTTTTACCACCTCTATGTTTCTTTATTTTGTTATAAAGAATGCTAGGCTAGTTGTTTAAAGTAAGTAGGTTATAAAGAATGCTAGGCTAATTGTTTAAAGTAAGACAGTCACATTAACGTGCACAATTTAGTAATGTTTATCTTTTTATTTTTTATTTTAAAATCAAATAGAGATCCAACCTACAACTTTAAAAAAACGTAATAGACACCTTACCAACTTATTGAATCATGACTCACGTCATGTCAAATCGTGCAAAAGATTGAATCATCCCGAACTAATGCATTATAATAAGTGAATGAAAAAATAAGTAAAAAAAAGTAGATGAAGATTACACGTAAAGCACAAGACAATGAATCCATTTTGTATTCCACCAAACACCATTTGAAGTAACAAATCAAAAATAAAATTTCCTCATTTTACCAACATAAACAACTCGTGTAATGCATTTATCTTCAGAGCTACATTTTCAATCCTTGATTGCAGAATTATGATTTTAAAAAATGAGATACTAATAAATATACAAACTTTTTAACCTTAAAATGCAAGAGAACTAAGATGGTTGACATTAATATTGAACAATGAACATACATTATTCCTACAAAGAACCAAGCATATGATAAACTTTAATGGGAGAAAATAAAAACAGCGTAATTTGGAGGCTTGATACGTACATGATAACCAAAATTGTGATTGGCTCACTCGATCTTCTCCAATACTTCCAATCGGGTTTTTCTCTTCCACCCTTTCATCGACGCGACAAGGTTAACTAGACCTACAATTTGGCTCTTACTATATTCCTGCAAGGACAATTTTCCAAACCATGAACAAATATGGTCATTTAAATATTGATATCGACGAAAAGATCTAAGTCTCGATGATGATAGAAATGTCAAGCTCATTCTAGGAATTCATAAAAACTATATGAGTTAATAAACAAACATTTGATGAAATATCGAAATGTCAAGCTAATTCTAGGAATTCATAAAAACTATGAGTTAATAAACAAACATTTCATGTATTTCATCAATCTTTTTAAGGTATAAAGAACATATCAATTTAGTCTCATATCAACAACAAATTCAAGGGAGTTATTTAATTTTCTGCAAATGTCAATAAATATTCCAACTTTTCTGGGTTCAAGGCAAGTTTCTTACCGGGTGAGCCCGTGACCAGTGTACAAATTCGGTTTCTGGAAGGTAGTACGCCTGTTTGATGATGCATCATTAGTAATCAATAACACACTTGGTAAACAGTACTAAACAGTAGATGATTGTTAATCGAGTTTGAAATGGCCCACAACAGTTCATTCTTTTCAATTCTCACAATTTCAAGCTCGTACTTACCTTAATGAAGGTTTCAACCATTTGCAACTTAGGCTTCACATTTGCCGAAACAAAATGTTGCAAGCCATTGATTAAAACCTGAAAAGGAATGACATTGATATTTCAGTCCATTATTAAAAGAGAAATTTCATTTTGTAGCATAAATAATGGAGTAAGTAACAAGCAATCTGCAGCATGGCCCTTATATACCTGAAGATCCAATGACATGAGAGCCCGTCCTTCATCGGAACATCTCTTTATTCGCGATATACCTTCAATAAGGGTTTCTGCAACAATATCCAGTCCATATTCCAAGAGGTGGTCTTGAACCTAGAAATGTTACAAAATACCAAGTTTCAAGCCATGCAATTACAGCAATGGAAGGAAAAAAGGTATAACATATGGTCTCAACGGAAAGGCTATATATCCCTTTAACCCGAACAATATAAGCTTACTCAAAATGTTTCCATGGCATCCTCTTGACAAGAAAAAATCGATTGGGGAACTTGAACTTCAAGAAGACGAGTTCTCTCTTGTTTTACTACAGAACCAAATAATCAAACTACTTGATATATTTAATTTAACCGTCTTCAATTTTATAGTCAACTATGATTGTGAAACAAACAATAGCATTATCAAGAAGCCTGAGGCTCAAAGGCTGGCTGAGATCAATTAGAAACCTGGTCCAAAACTCAACCTATCAATTATTTGGATTGGATATACATCATATAATCCTTCGGCATTTGTGTTTTTTGGGGTGTCAGGCTTGAGATAAATGGTAGAATTTTTAGAGGGGTTGAAAGGTCTTGGGAAGAGGTGGGGGATCTGGTTAGGTTCAACTATTTCCTTTGGACATCTATATCTAAGTTGCTTTGTAATTATGAGTTAGGTCTTATTCTTTTGGATTGGAGTCTGATTTTTGTACGTCTTTGTTTTTGCTTTCATATTTCTTAATGAAATTTTGGTTTTTCATAAAAAAGGGTCAATTATTCCAAGAATGAATGTCGACCTTTAACCTATTATACATAGAATTTAGAAGTATATTTATATAGTAAATTAAAAAAGAAATAAAAAATACTTTTTTTAATATTTATATATTATAGTAAGACATATAAGTAACTTGAGGCTATAAAAATGATGACAACAGCGTATCTCTGATACGTACAAAGCACAAGGATGGGAAAAGAACTCCACAATTTAACCTGTTGTAGTTATGCCACCTGTAACTTTTACGATTTAATATAATTTTCCCTGATAGATTACCTCCTTGCGAACTCCACTATGAGCGAGCCTTGTTTTGTAATGCTTGAATTCTCCCAATAACAAATCAACGTACCTATTCATACAGTTCAGTTACAAAACTGTTCAGATTGTAGTCATGAACTCGTAGGATAATAAGAACAATAACAAACTTGTATGATCTGCATATGCTAAAATAATGCAAAATAAGGAATCCCAGAAATTTCTTCACAGTTTGAAAGCGCATTTGCTTGTCCACATGTATTATTTAAAATGATTACAAGTTCGTTACAACATGTAGAATCAATAATGTGAGTAGCCAAAAATTCCACTCCAATATTCAGACAGGTATGATCAGGTTGATATTCAGAAATTACAAGCAAAATGGGATGAAAGACAACACTATGGAATAAACAGTACAAACAAAATGATTTTCTATCATGACAAAATACATTTCACTCTTGCCACTGGTCATCTTTTCACCTTAAGGAGTCTTAAAACATATGGATACATACAATGTGATTCATCCATTATTTCAACAGAACACGGATTAAATTTAGTAGGTTGCAGATGAAGTAGCTCTCATCTAAAGCTCTTTCCCTTGACAGAAAAATAGCAGGTAGCAACCTTCAACCAGAAGTTTGGGATATATATATATGCATGCATGCATGTATGTCTGTGTCTGTATGCATATGCATATATAAGATTATCATAGAACAGTAATAGGTAGTAAAGTGGGTATCCTGAGAGAACAAACCCATTATGCTCCAGTCCAAGCTCTTTTACTTCCCATTTCGCATTGGCTATCCGATCAACATAACTGTAAAAAGGAGAGGTTCATCGTAAAAAAACATTGCCATCTTTGAAAATTGTAGTTACAGAAGTAAAAAATATTTTCACACTTTTAGCCTGTGAAAAATGAACTTCTACTAATGACGTTGACTTATAGCTTTCAAATACAATATACTAAATATAATCATGGAGAGAAGTTTCAAAGATGAGAAGAGAATTACTATCTATTAAAAAAATAATAATTGGCTTATCCAAGATGTTCTAACCTAGCATTAAACTTGATCTTGGATGCTACCAAACACTATTAAAATCATAAGATGCACCCTAAGAAATACTGAAATTCATGATAAGCCAATATTTAATTTTCCTTCCACCTTACTGTGAACA